CCTTACCTTACGAACATCCGTTTTATTAGTTACGGACATCCATTAGATTTTTTTCCGAACATCCGTTGGAGGACTGAAATGTCAATTCCGAACATCCGTTTTATTGGTTGCGAACCTCCGTTAAACTTTTTTCCGAACATCCGTTGACAGAATAAATGTCAATTCCGAACATCCGATGTCAAATACAAATGTTCGGAATGACCGCGGCGAAACGTCTGAAGGCCATTCTTTCATAGCTAATATTTCATTTTCTACTAGTAGAAAATGAAATTTCAATATCTACTGCAACATATATATACATATATACATATGATCTGTGTCTTTGTTTATCTAGTGTTGTTTCTCAATTGCTGTGTATGTATTTAATTGAATATTCGTTAGTGAAAATATATCATTTAATATGATAGATAATCAAAAAAGAAAACAAAAATCAAAATGTAATCTTACCATAATCATAATTATGTGAATTTAGTTGATAATAATATGCATCTGATGTAAAACCTTTTTCTTGTGTATCAACAAGACATAATCCATGACTTTGTGTAATAAAATGTGATGGCCGTGATAAATGATAATCATTTATAAATAGTTCAAAATGTGCTTCAATTAATAAAGTTTTTCCATTTTCTATTAAATCTGAGGGAATTTCAATGATTTTGCAAATTGGTGATAAGTCTAAACAAAAAAAGCAGATCTAAACAAAATAGAAATAATTGTATAATAGAAAACTACTTTGCACTGAAGAAAACATTGTACTTGTTGATAATAAGAATTTATTGATAGTCTAGCAACTATTTATAGGTAATAAAATGTTAATGAGAAATGAGAGACGTTTCTCTGGAATCACACAAGTTATTTATGTCATTTGTTGTTGATCTCTATTCGTAAATCCTCCTATAATTAGTTTACATTACTTCGTCGAAACAAAGAATTTCTTAAAATGATATCAACGACAATTTGAATACTTTTCATATTGATTTTAATTCGATTAATAATAACATCTCTCCTCATTTCATCAAATAAATATATTAATTATATTCTCATCAAACGAATATTTGATATTTATACTCATTGAATTTTATCAATTTATACAGTTTATTGTCATTTTTTTTTATCTAATGAATATTAAAATGAAATAACTCTTATCAGTTTTTCTTGGAAGAAAACAAAATTTCATTTAAATAAACAAGAATATTTTCGTGTTTATAGTTTGCGAAAATAATACTATACAAAACAAGGAATGAATGTTTATATTCCATTGTCATATCCATCAATCAGTTTCGCCAATTAACGTTTTTTTTTGTTGCGTATTTGCGATTTATTTAACCTTCTAACCATGATAGAGCCTAAAAGGACATAGTGCTGATTACAAGTAACTTATAAAAAAGAAAAGCACAAACAGAAATCATTTAAAACTATGAGCAAAGATAACGTGAGTCATGAGCGATGGTTTGCCGAGTCGAATCACTCTGGTATGCGAGCAGAGTGCATAGATCATCAATGAATGAGTAGCTTAAGACGTACAGAACAGAGTTGTATAAACATAGGATTGAGAGAGAGAAGGCTCAAACATGATGCCGGTTCTCAAGAAACAAAAATAGTTGCTATTGCGCCAATCTCTTCCCACCCCCAGCGTTTCTTTTGTTGTTTCGATTGTATATTAATCTTACGATGACGGATATCCTTCAGAATGTAAATTAGGAAGTGTATGTGTCAATAGGCATCGTATCTTATGTGATTTCTTTTCTTTCTCACTAGGGAACATTCCCAACTGTCACATCGCTTTTGAGTCGAATGTATGCGCATTATGTAGACCCAAATGATCTATGAATTCTCTGAAAAGGTTTCATTCTGCTAGCTTATTACTGCCGAGATACTTCATTTTTACTGTATGTTTAAGAAAAAAAGTCGTGGTTCCCCCCCCCAGGAACACAAGGAAAACTGAATTTCGAATTTCGACTTAAGACTTTCCATAGATATACGCCTCAATGAGAATAGTTTATTGTGAAAGTTTCAGATCTTTTCGTTGCTCCTATTCTAAAATATAGCTATGGTAAAATTGCTCATATAGGCCAGCAGATTCCGATGTTCTTATTTCAGACTAGAAGCAATCAGAAGATCTGAAACTTTCACAATAAACCATTCTCACTGACGTCTATCTCCTTGCGAAGTTTCAGCTTAAAACTCAAAACTTAGTTTTTCTAGTGTTCCTGAGGGGGACTACGGCTTTTTGCTCAAACATCCAGTAAAAATGCATTATCTCGGCAGTAATAAGCTAGTAGCATGAAAGCTTTTCAGAGAATTCATAGATCATTAGGACTTACATGATGGTCATAAGCTTGACTCAAAAGCAATGTGACATTTGGGAATGTTCCATCGTCAGTGTGTTGCTATACAATCAATGATACGTAGTGTTCATAATTGCGTTACTGTTACGTTCATTTATGCATGATTAAACCTTCTTTTCATTCTATATCGTCACTCACTCATATATTATATGTATTGTTCTCATCTATCTATTCTTACACTATGTTCTTACTCTATTGTTCTTCTATATGTTTTCTCTCCTTGGCCTCATCTTCTTTCTTTTCATCATCGATTGTTCTACTCATGTATATAAACGTGTACTTTATATGTAAACAATACGATTGTATGATATGAAGGAATAAACTAAAGTGTAATACCATCAACACTAACAACCCTTCTATCATTAATGATCAGATGACGATGATATGGTATGAAGAAATGGAATAAAGTGTATCTCCATCTACACTATCTTCTCTTCTATCATCATTTATAGTCACATTGTATTTATAGACAAATATATTCCACTGAATGATACTGTTTCCGACTTAAAAAAAAAACATCGTCAAATATTTTTAGTTGCCTTAGTAAATAGAAAGAGAGAATGATTTTGATTGATATAACATAATCGAAATCTATCTCTGATGAAAAACATAAAAACATTGTAAAATTCGGCTTTATTTATTTATATGTGAAAGTTTATCAACAACCAATTAAATTAACATGATTCTGTATTCAAACTAGAAAGTCGAATTTTTTTGAAAGAGAAATAAGATTATTATTAAAAAGAGAATTTAAAAAAAGTACTTTCGAAAAACTTTGTCTCATTCAATGTTCAATTAAACAAATAAGATAAAATATATCATACTGAATATTGATGATCTATTAACAATAAATAAATCTTTGTAATTTGTATGTTTAGTCAATGATCAAGTTCGGTAGAGAACTGTTGAAGTTGGAGATTATTATTCATAGGAACGGACAAACGTAAAAGATTATAGCATTATTTGAAACGATATAGGAAAATTTTCATGTCAAAAATTATTTTGCAGATTGAAAAATGACATATATATGTTTATAAAGTGATTTTGTTCAAGTATTTTCTATACGATGAAATACATTAAAATATTCAATAATTACGAAGGATAAACAAGCATATAGAAAAAAAACACATTTTCTAGTAATAATCTTAAATTTTAGTTGAGTTCGAGTTGATTATGTCTAAAAGATTATGAATGGTTTCAGAATTACATCGAGATAATTATCCATTCCATTGATTTCTGATTGTGATTTTTACAGTTTTATATTTGAAAATCTCTTAATTGAATCTATCAATTAAAGTGAAATCTTCATCTATAAAAATTCGGATTTGAAACAAGTTTTAATGAATTTGAAAAAATTTATTTATTTCAATGATTTCATTATTAATCAGTTCAAGAATCTAACAATATTGATACTTGATTATTCTAGAAAAAGAAACAAGTTATAGAGAATGTTTAGAAATCAGAAAACAACAAAAGATCATTTTCTTTGTCGTGCCCTATATAATGATGACATTATCCTTCAGTCATTGAGTTCTGTAGAAGACAACAGTACAGAGAGTCAATACGTTCGTTTTGTGAGGACAGATTTAACAGGACAGACACCCTCTTGCAGTCGAAATAAATGACAATCTTTTCATTGTATTTTTTTACAAGGATAACAAGGTACTTGTATATTAGGTATGATATTAAATATTATAGACGTACTATTGGGACAAAAAACATTGACAATATAGACATTCAGTTAATTCTTATGACATGCTTTACAACACAAGTGAAAAGAACAATAAAAACAAATAATTGGCATATATACTGTGAAAAAAACACTAATAAAACAAATAAATACAGAATGTTCCAAAAGTCCCCGAGAAAAGTTTTTTCGTTTCATTTCACCATTGACTAGACTTCATTGAGTCATTTTTTTTTGGATAATAGATAAATGTAGGCATGCACCCAAACCTTTTGGGTTGTTTTTACCTAAGTGATGAAAAATCTCTTTATCTACTGAATGACAGGACACAAGATTCTTCCATCGGTAAAGAATTAAACTAGAGAAGTGACACTGCAAAATACCAAAAGAGAGATTTCGGTAGCGTTGTTACACTATTTGCTAGAGTCAATCAAAAAACCCAAACCCAATGAGTTTGGGTTTGGGTTTGGAGGGTGGTTCAAGTTCCTTTCAATCTGTTATTTCAACAAACAGTTCATTTGATCATTCTCCGTTCAGTTGTCAAAGGCAGACTTCCTTCTATATTAATGGCGCAACAATTTGTNATATTACTTTAATCAATCATCATTGTTAATCTAATCATCTATCGATCATATTAAACATAAGAAATATTCATAAGATTAATCTTATATATCAATGAAATAGAAAATCTAGCACATATTTTGTTAGATAAAATACATTATTGTATTAACTCATAGAATCTATTTATAGATAATTTTGTTACTCAGTCATTTTTATCTGTCAACTCTATTTGTTAATTGGTTCATTGACTATATGAATCTATCTTCTGAAAATTTTTCTTTTTTTTTTTGGTTTTTATAAAATATTTTCTATGATTTAATTCTGAAATTATTGAACAATATAAATAGTTTCCCATTAATGTACACAGAACATTTCATATGCATCTTTTTCATAATTTGTTTTAGCTGTTCAAGGAAAAAAAAAATTATAGCGAGATAAGGGGAGAATAGAATATAATAGTTTCATAAGAGTTATGATTTTTAGATGTTTTCAAAAATTTATTTCTTTTGAACCCATCTGTTTAAAGACTTCTTTGAATTGACACTAACTCCTCTCCACCAAACAATAGAAGTCGATTGGATTTCTAATTTGCTTTGAAAGTGAAAAGTTTGAAGATAGGCTTCTTTTGTGATCAACTATTTTGTATTGTAGCTAGTCTTTTTTTAAAATTAAATCTAAAAATTTTATTCAGCAAACGTTTTATATTAAATGGTAGAAAAAAAATTTAAGAAGAACATTCTTTGTTTTTTATTCAGTTGAAAGACAAGAGCTAAGAAATTTTTAATGATTTATATACTTAGGTAGAATCTATGAACAGTAAACCTGACTATGAAGATGCTCTCTCTCACAAATAACTTTTTATTTTTTCTCTCGTAGAAAAAGTTTAAGAACACATAAAATAAGCTCATGTCCTAACATGCTTTTTTCAATACGACAAGCATTTATTTTTTTTTACTAAATATATTCAATGAAAGGGCAGCATGTGCTTGACACAATTGATCAATTCACTTTGAAAAATCTTCATCGTAAATTATCTTAAAAGTGTAAATTCCAAAATCTATGAGGTGACCTACATGATTTTCATGAAAAAGCCACGTATTTCGTAGTTACATAGCGTAAAAAAAGACATTGAATGAAATATTTTTAGTGTATTTGTGTCAGGTTTTGACAATCTATGATCAGTTTTGTCGTTGAGTGTGATAAAGTGCTAAATTATTTAGAAAATGACGTACTTTGAGACTATGAAAGATGTCAACCTAATAGGAATCTAATGTCCCTTTGCATGACTATGATAGAATTATCTTGTCTTAAGCTTAAATGCATTATTGTGGTTGTTGTTGTTGTTGTTGAGTATTATGCAGTTCTTCAGAAGATTGATGAGACTCGTATTGGGTTGGCATGCTTCATAGTCGTAAAGTAAATCAGTGTCTACAGAATTTTGCGCTCTATCAGACTCAACGACAAAACTCATCATAGACTGTCAAAACCTAACACAAATGCACTAAAAATATTTCATTCAATGTCTTTTTTGTGCTACGTAACTACGAAATACGTCATTTTTTCATGAAAATCATGTAGATCACCTTATAGGTTTTGAAATTTAGGCTGCTAAGTAAGTTTAAGGTGAAGATTCTTCAAAATAAATCGATCACACTCTTTTCTTCCAAAAGATATATTTAGTGAAAAAAAAATTGATTGTCATGTTGAACAAAACATGATAGAACCACTAGTCTAATTTATGTATTTTTAAAGTTTATTCCGCTAAAGAAAAAGTAAAAGGTTATTTGTGCAAGAGAGAGTCTCGATCCTATGGAGTATCTCCATTTGCAGTTATACTGTAGATAGATTCTACATAGTATATAAATCATTAAAACTTAGTTATCCCTCGTCTTTGAACAGAATAAAAAAAGAAACAAAGACTGTTCTTCTTAAACTTTTCTATGACATTCTTTCAAAACTAATATTTCATTTGTTTATTAACTATTTCAATTGATTGATTTGTTATCTATGCAATGTGTATATCCTATTGCTTTTGTGTGTATATGTTGCAGTAGAAATTGAAATTTCATTTTCCACTAGTAGAAAATGAAATTTTAATTTCTACTGCAATATATATATATGTATAATCTGTGTCTTTGTTGATCTAGTGTTGTTTCTCAATTGCTGTGTTTGTATTTAATTGAATATTTGTTAGTGAAAATGTATCATTTAATATGATAGATAATCAAAAAAGAAACCGAAAATCAAAATATAAACTTACCATTATAATAAATATGTGAATTTAATAGATAATAATATGCATCTGATGTAAAATCTTTTTGTTGTGTATCAACAAGACATAATCCATGATTTTGTGTAATAAAATGTGATGGTCGTGATAAATGATAATTATTTATAAATAATTCATAATGTGTTTCAATTAATAAAGCCTTTCCATTTTCGATTAAACTTGGGGGAATTTCAATGATTTTACAAGTTGGTGATGAGTCTAAACAAAAAAGGCAGATGTAAACAAAATAGAAATAATTATATAGTAGAAAACTACTTTGAATTGAAGAAAACATTGTATTTGTTAATAATAAGAATTTGCTAATAGTCTAGCAACTATTTATAAGAAAAAAAACGTTAATGAGAAATGAGAGGCATTTCTCTGGAATAACAAAAGCTATTTATGTCATTTGCTGTTGATTTCTATTCGTAACTCCTTCTATAATTAGTTTACATTACTTTGTCTAAACAAAGAATTTCTTAAAATGATATCAACGATAATTTAAATATTTTTCATATTGATTTTAATTCGATTAATAATAACATCTCTTCTCATTTCATCAAATAAATATATTAATTATATTCTCGTACAATGAACACTTGAGATTTATAATCATTGAATTTTATCAATTTATACAGTTCATTATCATTTTTTTTTGTTTAATGCATATTAAAACGAAATAACTCCTATCAGTTTTTCTTAGAAGAAAAAAAAATTTCATTTAAATAAACAAGAAAATTTTTGTGTTGATAGGTTAAGTAAATAATATTATATAAAACAAAGGACCAATGTTTATATTCCATTATCATAATCATGAATCAGTCTCGTCAATCAATGTTTCTTTTGTTCTTGTTTGCAATTTATCTAACCTTCTATCCATGATAGGACCTAAAGGGACATAGTGTTGATTACAAGTAACTTATAAAGAATGAAAAGCAATTATGGCAAAGCACAAACAGAAAGCATATTAAACTATGAACAAAGATAACATGAGTCATGAGCAATGGTTTGCCGATTCGAGCCACTTTGGTATGCGAGCAGAATGCACAGACCATCGACGAACGAGTAGCTTGAGACATGCAGAACAGAACAGAGTTATATAAACATGGGATTGAGGAATGGAAGGCTCAAACATGATGACAATTCTTGAGAAACGAACAAGTTGCTATTGTGTCAATCTCTCCCTCTTCCCCTACGTTTCTTTTGTTTTTTCTTTCATTGTACATTAGTCTTACGATGACGATACCATTCAGAATATAAATTAAGAATTCTATTTATAGACAAATATATTCTACTGAATGATACCGTTTTCAACTTAAAAGAAAGACATCGTCAAATATTTTTAGTCGCCTTAGTAAATAGAAAGATAGAATAACTTAGACTGATATAACATAATCGAAATTTATCTCTGATAGAAAACATAAAAATATTTTAAATTTCGTCTTTATTTATTTATATATGAAAGTTTATCAACAACCAATTCAATGAATGTATTTCTGTATTCAAACCAGAAAATTGATTTTTTTTAAAGAGAAATAAGATTACTATTAAAAAGAGAATTAAAAAAAAGTATTTTTGAAAAAAATTTTGTCGAATTAAATGTTCAATTAAACAAATAAAATAAAATATATCATACTGAATATTGATGATCTATTAACAATAAATAAATCTTTGTAATTTGTATGTTTAGTCAATGATCAAGTTCGGTAGAGAACTGTTGAAGTTGGACGTTATTATTCATAGCAACGGACAAACGTAAAGGATTATCTGATTATTTGAAACGACATAGGAAAATTTTCATGTCAAAAATTATTTTGCANTTTGGTTTTTAAAAAATATTTTCTTTGATTTAATTCTGAAATTATTGAACAATATAAATAGTTTCTCACTAATGTACACAGAACATTTCATATGCATCTTTTTCATAATTTGTTTTAGCTGTTCAAGGAAAAAAAAATTATAACGAGATAAGGGGAGAATGGAATATAATAGTTTCATAAGAGGTTTGAAGATAGGCTTCTTTTGTGATTAACTATTTTGTATTGGAGCTAGTCTTTCTTTAAAATAAATCTAAAAGTTTTAGCAAACGTTTTATACAAAATGGAAGAAAAAAAAAATTAAGAAGAACATTCTTTGTTTTTTATTCAGTTGAAAGACAAGAACTAAGAAATTTTTAATGATTTATATACTTAGGTAGAATCTATGAACAGTAAAACTGACTATGAAGATACTCTCTCTCACAAATAACCTTTTATTTTTTCTCGTAGAAAAAGTTTAAAAACACATAAAGTAAGCTGATGTTCTATCATGCTTTTTTCAACACGACAAACTTTTATTTTTTTACTAAATATATTCTATGAAAGAACAGAATGTGCTTGACACAATAGATTAATTCACTTTGAAAAATCTTCACCTTAAAGTATCTTAGAAGCCTAAACTTCAAAACCTATGAGGTGACCTACATGATTTTCATGAAAAAGCCACGTATTTCGTAGTTACGTAACATAAAAAATGACATTGAATGAAATATTCTTAGTGTATTTGTATCAGGTTTTGAGAGTCCATAATTAGTTTTACCCTTGAGTGTGATAGAGCGCTAAATTATCTAGAAAATGACGTGCTTTGAGACTATTAAAGACGTCAACCTAATAGGAGTCTAATGTCTCTTTGCATGCCTATGATAGAGTTATTTTGTCTTAAGCTTAAATTCATTGTTGTTGTTGTTGAGTACTATGCAGTTCTCCAAAAGATTGATTAGACTCGTATTTGGTTGGCATGTTTTATAATCTTAAAGTAAATCAGTGTCTACAGAATTTTGAGCTCTATCAGACTCAACGACAAAACTAATCATAGACTGTCAAAACCTGACACAAATACACTAAAAATATTTCATTCAATGTCATTTTTTGTGCTACGTAACTACGAAATACGTGACTTTTTCATGAAAACCATGTAGGTCACATTGTAGATTCTTCAAATTTAGGCTTTAAAGATAGTTTAAGGTGAAGATTCTTCAAAGTAAATCGATCACACTCTGTTCTTCCAAAAGATATATTTAGTGAAAGAATTTTTGATTGCCATGGTAAACAAAACATGATAGAACCACCAGTCTAATTTATGTGTTTTTAAAGTTTATTCCACTGAAGAAAAAGTAAAAGGTTATTTGTGTGAGAGAGAGAGGCTCGATCCTATGAAGTATCTCCATTTGCAGTTATACTGTAGATAGATTCTACCTAAGTATATAAATCATTAAAACTTAGTTAGCCCTCGCCTTTGAACAGAATGAAAAAGAAACAAAGAATGTTCTTCTTAAACTTTTCTATGACATTCTTTCATAGCTAATCTTTCATTTGTCTATTAACTATTTCAATTGATTGATTTGTTTTCTATGTAATGTGTATATCCTATTGTTTTTGTGTGTATATGTTGTAGTAGAAATTGAAATTTCATTTTCTACTAGTAGAAAATGAACTTTTAATTTCTACTGCAACATATATATATATAAAATCTATATCTTTGCTGTTCTAGTGTTGTTTCTCAATTGCTGTGTTTGTATTTAATTGAATATTTGTTAGTGAAAATGTATCATTTAATATGATAGATAATCAAAAAGAAAACAAAAATCAAAATGTAAACTTACCATAATCATAATTATGTGAATTTAATTGATAATAATATTCATCTGATGTAAAATCTTTTTGCTGTGTATCAACAAGACATAATCCATGATTTTGTGTAATAAAATGTAATGGTCGTGATAAATGATAATCATTTATAAATAATTCATAATGTGTTTCAATTAATAAAGTTTTTCCATTTTCTATTAAACCTGGGGGAATTTCAATGATTTTACAAGTTGGTGATGAGTCTAAACAAAAAAAGCAGATCTAAACAAAATAGAAATAATTATATAATAGAAAACTACTTTGAATTGAAGAAAACATTGTATTTGTTAATAATAAGAATTTCTTGATAGTCCAGCAACTATTTATAAGAAAGAAAACGTTAATGAGAAATGAGAGGCGTTTCTCTGGAATAACAAAAGCTATTTATGTCATTTGCTATTGATATATATTCTTAACTCCTCCTATAATTAGTTTATATTACTTTGTCTAAGAAAAGAATTTCTTAAAATGATATCAAGGATAATTTAAATATTTTTCATATTGATTTTAATTCGATTAATAATAACATCTCTCCTCATTTCATCAAATAAATGTATTAATTATATTCTCATAAAATGAATATTTGATATTTATATTCATTGAATTTTATCAATTTATACAGTTCATTATCATTTTTTTTGTCTAATGAATATTAAAATGAAATAACTCTTATCAGTTTTTCTTAGAAGAAAACAAAATTTCATTTAAATAAACAAGAAAATTTTTGCGTTTATAGTTTAAGTAAATAATATTACATAAAACAAGGGACGAATGTTTATATTCCATTATCATAATCATGAATCGGTCTCGTCAATCAACGTTTCTTTTGTTGCTTGTTTACGATTTATTTAACCTTCTACCCATGATACGGCCTAAAGGGACAGAGTGCTGATTACAAGTAACTTATAAAGAATGAAAAGCAATTAAGGTAAAGCACAAACAGAAAGCATATAAAACTATGAACAAAAAGAACATAAGTCATGAGCGATGGTTTACCGAGCCGAATCACTTTGGTATGCGAGCAGAATGAATAGACCATCGACGAACAAGTAGCTTGAAACATACAGAACAGAACAGAGTTATATAAACATGGGACTGAGGGAGGAAAGGTTCGAACATGATGCCAATTCTTGAGAAACGATGCCAATTCTTGAGAAACGAACAAGTTGCTATTGCGCCAATCCCCCCTCCCTGTCTCCCAACCTTTCTTTTGTTGTTTTCATTGTATATTAGTCTTACGATGACGGATACCCTTCAGAATATAAATCAAGAATTGTATTTATAGACAAATATATTCTACGGAATAATACCGTTTTCAACTTAAAAGAAAAACATCGTCAAATATTTTTAGTTGCCTTAGTAAATAGAAAGAGAGAATGACGTTAATTGATATAACATAATCGAAATCTATCTCTGATGAAAAACATTGTAAAATTCGCCTTTATTTATTTATATATGAAAGTTTATCAACAACCAATTAAATTAACGTGATTCTGTATTCAAACCAGAAAATCGATTTTTTTTTTAAAGAGAAATAAGATTATTATTAAAAAGACAATTAAAAAAATGTATTTTTGAAAAACTTTGTCTCATTCAATGTTCAATTAAACAAATAAAATAAAATATATCATACTGAATATTGATGATCTATTAACAATAAATAAATCTTTGTAATTTGTATGTTTAGTCAATGATCAAGTTCGGTAGAGAACTGTTGAAGTTGGACGTTATTATTCATAGGAACGGACAAACATAAAGGATTATCTCATTATTTGAAACGATATAGGAAAATTTTCATGTCAAAAATTATTTTGCAGATTGAAAAATGATATATGTTTATAAAGTGATTTTGTTCAAGAAATATTTTATTTTCTATACGATGAAATACATTAAAATATTCAATATTTACGAAGGATAAACAAACATATAGAAAAAAAAACATTTTCTAGTAATAATCTTAAATGTTAGTTGAGTTCGAGCTGATTATGTCTAAAAGATTATGAAGTTTCAGGATAACATCGAGATAATGATCCATTCCATTGATTTCTGATTGTGATTTTCAGTTTTATATTTGAAAATCTCTTAATTGAATCTATCAATTAAATTGAAATCTTCATATACTAAAATTCGAATTTCAAACAAGTTTTAGTGAATTTACAAAACATTGATTTATTTCAATGATTTCATTATTAATCAGTTCAAGAATCCAACAATATTGATACTTGATTATTCTAGAAAAAGAAGCAAGTTATCTAGAACGTTTAGAAACTAGAAAACGTCAAAAGATCATTTTCTTCGTCGTGCCCTATATTATGATGACATTATCCCTCTGTCATCGAGTTCTGTAGGAGACAATAGGACAGAGAATCAATAAGTTCGTCTTGTGAGGACGCATTTAACCTCTTGCATTCGAAATTAATAACAATCTTTTCATTGTATTTTTGACAAGGAAAACAAGTGTAACGAATTTATTTAATTGAAGATATATATATTGACTTATAATTATAATTTGAGTTAATTGATTAATGGATTAATTGATTAACGATGTATTGAATATATATATCTTCTATTCGTGATGAGTTAATGGGTAACAGCTCGTAAAAGAGTGTGAACGGTATAATTAAGGCCGTTTAGATAAGACCCAAATGAAATAGTTTATTATAATTAATGTAAAACAAATAATACAGCAGCACTCTGCTGATAACAATTATACGTATNTTCGATTAATTCTTGTGGAACTTTAATATGAACAAATTTTGTTTCGGCAGATTCATTTAGATGTTCAATATTGTAAAGATCTTCAAAATTTCCTGATATTTTTTTTTCTTCATTTGAATTAATTCTTTCAATCATAACGCTTTTTCCATCATTTAAACTTTCAGCAGGAAATTCAATGATCAATTCAAACAGTTCTATTTACAAACAAATATTTAATTATATAACAATATTACTTTAATCAATCATCATTGTTAATCTAATCATCTATCGATCATATTAAACATAAGAAATATTCATAAGATTAATCTTATATATCAATGAAATAGAAAATCTAGCACATATTTTGTCAGATATGATTGTATTAACTCAGAATCTATTTATAGATAATATTATTATTCAGTCATTTTTATCTATTAACTCTATTTGTTAATTTATTCATTGATCATATGAATCTATCTTCTGAAAATGTTTCTTTTTTTGGTTTTTATAAAATATTTTCTTTGATTTAATTCTGAAGTTATTGAACAATATAAATAGTTTCTCACTAATGTACACAGAACATTTCATATGCATCTTTTTCATAATTTGTTTTAGCTGTTCAACGAAAAAAAATTTATAACGAGATAAGGGGATAGTAGAATATAATAGTTTCATAAGAGTTATGATCTTTAGATCTATTCAAAAATTTATTTTCTTTGAACTAATCTGTTTAAAGACTTCTTTGAATTGAAACTAAACTCCTCTCCACCATACAACAGAAGTCGACTGAATTTCTAATTTGCTTTGCAAGTGAAAAGTTTGATGATAGGCTTCTTTTGTTACCAACTAATTATTTTTTTATTGTAGCTAGTCTTTCTTTAAATTAAGTCTAAAAGTTTTATTTAGCAAACGATTTATATAAAATGGTAGAAAAAAAAATTTAAGAAGAATATTCTTTGTTTTTTATTCAGTTGAAAGACAAGAGCTAAGAAAGTTTTAATGATTTATATACTTAGGTAGAATCTATGAACAGTAAAACTGACTATGAAGATACTTCACAGAATCGGGCCTCGCTCTCTCTCACAAATGACCTTTTACTTTTTCTCTCGTAGAAAAATTTTAAAAACACATAAAGTAAGCTCATGTTCTATCATGCTTTTTTCAACGCGACAAGCATTTATTTTTTTTACTAAATATATTCTATGAAAGAACAGAATATGCTTGACACAATAGATTAATTCACTTTGAAAAATCTTCACCTTAAAGTATCTTAGAAGCCTAAATTTCAAAACCTATAAGGTGATCTACATGATTTTCATGAAAAAGTCATGTATTTCGTAGTTACGTAGCGCAAAAAATGACATTGAATGAAATATTTTTAGTGTATTTGTATCAGGTTTTGAGAATTCATAATTAGTTTTACCCTTAAGTGTGATAGAGCGCTAAATTATCTAGAAAATGACGTGCTTTTAGACTATTAAAGACGTCAACCTAATAGGAGTCTAATGTCTCTTTGCATGCCTATGATAGAGTTATCTTGTCTTAAGCTTAAATTCATTGTTGTTGTTGTTGAGTATTATGCAGTTCTCCAAAAAATTGATTAGACTCGTATTGGATTGGCATGTTTTATAGTCTTAAAGTAAATCAGTGTCTACAGAATTTTGCGCTCTATCAAACTCAACGACAAAACTAATCAGAGACTGTCAAAACCTGTCACAAATACACTAAAAATATTTCATTCAATGTCATTTTTTGTGCTACGTAACTACGAAATACGTGACTTTTTCATGAAAATCATATAGGTCACCTTATTGATTTTTGAAATTTAGGCTTCTAAGATAGTTTAAGATGAAAATTCTTCAAAGTAAACCGATCACATTCTGTTCTTCCAAAAGATATATTTAGTGAAAGAATTTTTGATTGCCATGTTGAACTAAGCATGATAGAATCACGAGTCTAATTCATGTGTTTTTAAAGTTTATTCCACTGAAGAAAAAGTAAACGGTTATTTGTGTGAGAGAGAGAGGCTCGATCCTATGGAGTATCTCCATTTGCAGTTATACTGTAGATAGGATTCTACCTAAGTATATAAATCATTAAAACTTAGTTATCCCTCGTCTTTGAACAGAATAAAAAAAACAAAGAATGTCCTTCTTAAACTTTTCTATGACATTCTTTCATAGCTAATATTTCATTTGTCTATTAACTATTTTAATTGATTGATCTGTTATCTATGTAATGTATATCCTATTGTTTTTGTGTGTATATGCTGTAGTAGAAATTCAAATAACACGTGATTTTAAATTGCACTAGTAGAAATTAAAATTTTAATCTCTACTGTAGGAGAATTTTAAATTCTACTAGAAACTTATATTATGGAAGTATTTTAACTTCTACTGTAGTAGGAATTTAAATACCCGCTTATATTGATAATGATATCTCAAAAGAAAAGAAACAAAAAAGTGTGGATGCTATTGCAGAGAAGACCGCAGCTCACACCGAGATTAGTCCATACCCACATCATCGCCAACACCCCTCATCTACACTGCCACCCATCCACGTCCTCACATTCATTTAACAAAATGTAATTTTTCGAAATTGCGTGTTATTGATTCTTAAACACTACCAACACAAACATTTATTCAAGCTTGTAAAGATTATGTTAGTAGCGGGGTTAATCCAGCTGTAGGAGCCTGTGCTGGTAATGGTAGTTGTGTTACAAAAAAGCTGTCCAAGCAAAACAACTAAAGTATCGTATGGTACAAAATGTCATCCTGCTAAAAAGAAATGTCATTCAAATAAATAGATGTGAACTTTTGGTATATTCAATAATTTCTTGGGCTGCTCTCTATGTTACTAATAAATAATGTGTGTTCTTCTGTAGATTATCATCGATAAAAAAGGGTATTTAAATTTCTACTACAGTAGAAATTAAAATACTTTCATAATATAAGTTTCTAGTAGAATTTAAAATTCTCCTATAGTAGAGATTAAAATTTTAATTTCTACTAGTGCAATTTAAAATCACGTGTTATTTGAATTTCTACTGCAATATATATATATATATATATATATATATATGATCTGTGTCTCTGTTTATCTAGTGTTGTTTGTCAATTGTTGTGTTTGTATTTAATTGAATATTTGTTAGTGAAAATGTATTATTTAATATGATAGATAATCAAAAAAGAAAACAAAAATCAAAATTTAAACTTACCATAATCATAATTATGTGCATTTAATTGATAATAATATGCATCTGATGTAAAATCTTTTTGTTGTGTATCAACAAGACATAATCCATGATTTTGTGTAATAAAATGTGATGGTCGTGATAAATGATAATCATTTATATATAATTCATAATGTGTTTCAATTAATAAAGTTTTTCCATTTTCTATTAAACCTGAAGGAATTTCAATGATTTTACAAGTTGGTGATGAGACTAAACAAAAAAAAAGCAGATCTAAACAAAATAGAAATAATTATATAATAGAAAACTACTTTGAGTTGAAATCAGCATTGTGTGTGTTAATAATAAGAATTTGTTGATAGTCTAGCAACTATTTATACGAAAGAAAATGTTAATGAGAAATGAGAGGCGTTTCTCTGAAATAACAAAAGCTATTTATGTCATTTGTTGTTGATTTCTATTCGTAACTCCTCCTATAATTGGTATACATTACTTTGTCTAAACAAAGAATTTCTTAAAATGACATCAACGATAATTTAAATATTTTTCATATTGATTTTAATTCGATTAATAATAACATCTCTCCTCATTTCATCAAATAAATATATTAATTATATTCTCATAAAATGAACATTTGATATTTATAGTCATTGAATTTTATCAATCTATACAGTTCATTATCATTTTTTTTGTCTAATGAATATTAAAATGAAATAACTCTTATTAGTTTTTCTTAGAAGAAAACAAAATTTCATTTAAATAAACAAAAAACTTTTCGTGTTTACAGTTTCAGTAAATAATATTACATAAAACAAGGGACGAATGTTTATATTCCATTATCATAATCATGAATCAGTCTCGTCAATCAACGTTTCTTTTGTTGCTTGTTTACGGTTTATTTAACCTTTTACACATGATACGGCCTAAAGTGACATAGTGCTGATTACAAGTAACTGATAAAGAATGAAAAGCAATTAAAACAAAGCACAAGCAGAAAGCATATCATATTATGAGCAAAGATAACATGAGTCATGAGCGATGTTTTGCCGAGTCGAATCACTTTGGTATGCGATCAAAATGCATAGACCATCGACGAACGAGAAGCTTGAGATGTGCAGAACAGAACAGAATTATATAAACATGGAGCTGAGGGAGGAAAGGCGTGAATAGGATGTCAATTCTTGAGAAACGAACAAGTTGCTATTGCGCCAATCCCTTCCCCCTGTCTCCCAACATTTCTTTTGTTGTTTTCATTGTATATTAGTCTTACGATGATGGATACCCTTCAGAATATAAATCAAGAATTGTATTTATAGACAAATATATTCTACTGTATAATATCGTTTTTAACTTAAAAGAAAAACATCGTCAAATATTTTTAGTTACCTTAGTAAATAGAAAGAGAGAATGACTTTGATTGATAAAAAATAATCAACATCTATCTCTTATGAAAAACATTGTAAAATTCGCCTTTATTTATTTATATATGAAAAGTTTATCAACAACCAATTAAATTAACGTGATTCTGTATTCAAACTAGAAAATCAATTTTTGTTTTAAAGAGAAATAAGATTATTATTAAAAAGAGAATTAAAAAAAAAGTATTTTTGAAAAACTTTGTCTAATTCAATGTTCAATTAAACAAATAAAATAGAATATATCATACTGAATATTGATGATCTATTAACAATAAATAAATCTTTGTAATTTGTATGTTTAGTCAATGATCAAGTTCCGTAGAGAACTGTTGAAGTTGGACGTTATTATTCATAGGAACGGACAAACGTAAAGGATTATCTCATTATTTGAAACGATATTGGAAAATTTTCATGTCAAAAATTATTTTGCAGATTGAAAAATGATATATGTTTATAAAGTGATTTTGGTCAAGAAGTATTTTATTTTCTATACGATGAAATACATTAAAATATTCAATATTTACGAAGGATAAACAAATATATAGAAAAAAAAACATTTTCTAGTAATAATCTTAAATGTTAGTTGAGTTCGAGTTGATTATGTCTAAAAGATTATGAATAGTTTCAGGATTATATCGAGATAATGATCCATTTCATTGATTTCTGATTGTCATTTTTACAGTTTTATATTTGAAAATCTCTTAATTGAATCTATCAATTAAATTGAAATCTTCATATACAAAAATTCGGATGTGAAACAAGTTTTGATGAATTTAAAAACATTTATTTATTTCAATGATTTCATTATTAATCAGTTCAAGAATCCAACAATATTGATACTTGATTATTCTAGAAAAAGAAGCAAGTTATCTAGAACGTTTAGGAACCAGAAAACGTCAAAAGATCATTTTCACCCTCGTGCCCTATATTATGGTGACACTGTCCCTCAGTCATTGAGTTCTGTAGGAGACAAAAGGACAAAGAATCAATAAGCTCGTCTTGTGAGGCCACATTTAACAGGACAGACATCCTCTTGCATTCGAAATGAATGGCAATCTTTTCATTGTATTTTTGACAAGGAAAACAAGTTGATTGTATATTAGGTATGATAGTATATATTATAGACGTACTATTCGGACAAAGATCATTGACAATATAGACATTCAAGTAATTCTTATCACATGCTTTACAACACAAGTGAATAGAACAATAAAAACAAATAATTGACATACATACTGTGAACAAAACACTAATAAAACAAATAAATACAAGGTTTTATTTCTAAAGGCAATTTTTAAAAGCATTGTTGAAAGCTAAGACCTTTAGCCGAAAGACAAAAATTTAGCCTTTTTTCTCTTTCTAGAAATATTCATAGATAATGTGCTTTTGAATTGCTTGAGTTTTGATTTAGTATTATTCATCTCGTTTTTGTAAAGAACTACCAAAACAAATTTCTGTAAAAAGACTGCTCAAGTATTCGGCAATTTAAAGATTTGAATCAATCAACAACTTAAAGTAGTTCAACGAGAAATGTTATGTAAGTCTTTTCGAGAAAAACAAAACAGGCTGAATTTTTGTATTTTGGCTAAAGATCTTAGCTTTCAACAATGCTTTTGAAACTTGTCTTTAGAAATAAAAACTCTGTACATTTACATGTATCTATTATCCGAAAAAAAATGACTCAGTGAAGTCTAGTCAATAGTGAAATGAAACGAAAAAAACTTCTCTCAGGGACTTTTGGAACACCTTGTATATAGAATTTAACATGTTATCAATATACCACAGATGAATAAAGAGAACACAAATTATCTTTTTATTGATTTTTCTTCAATTTATTCTATGAATGAATAAAGATATCTGATCAGTTCCACTTCTTCATAAATACGTACGTCTTAGTGTTAATGTCAATTCAATGGAACTAAATATTCTTTTTACCTAAGTTCTATTTGCTGGTATCACAGCTACTCTTCTTAATTATATTGAGAATAATCGAAAATCATCAAAGATTTTATTACTAAATCAGAGCTTCATTGAATCACGATCAATTAGGTGACGCGAGTGTCCTACAGGGCTCAAATAGTATCCAACATGTTTTGCATCGTGCACTACAGAGTATTGCAGATCCGTGAGGATATGCATCCTGTGGCGTTCTCTGTTAAAAATATTGGATTTCAATGAATTTTCATTGATACTTCATTTTTTGCACGATAAAATGATAATGAAGACGCACTTGTTTTGTTCAAACTTGGTCTTTGATCATTATATATTTTTCTATATGTTGATTGAATTTTCAAATATGGTCACCATATTTCTCAATAAGGTTGTCGTTCATTTTAATTTCTAGACGTAAGCACCGAAAGGCAATATTTTCTATTGCGATGACCTCAAGAACACAAAATTAGAAAATATTTATTCAAATGCAAAAAATGAAATATTCAAGAGTAAACAGAAGAAATTTCTTTTTCTATCCTTGACTGATGATCTTTCATTTGTTTACAAAAATTGCTTCCCGAAAAATCACAATTTGTTACAGTTGCTTCGGTGCCAAGATTTGAAATATTTAAAACGATAAGATCATTAAAATTTAGTTGTCGCTTTGCTTGAGGGTGTGGGTGTGGATGTCGATGTGCTTGAAAATAAGAACAATATCCATACCCACACCCTGTTATTGGAAAAGGTGGAGAAAGAATCCTTTTCTACAAAAAGAAAAAATACCAAAATGAAAATATCTAAAGCAGAAGTAAGTTTTTAGTTTTTTCAATTTAAAATTAAGTTAATATTGAATTAAATTAAAAGAATTATTTTCCTGGAACAGAAGAACGTGTTTGTTTTGTTGTTGGAACAACTACAAATGTATTATCTGTTTATGAATTTTTATCAGATAAAATAAAAGAAAGTTTTCCAAGTGATCTTATACCATCATGTCAAATTAAATAAATAATTCCCAATGCAACAGCTGGAGTTATTATTGGAAAAGGTGATTCAATTATTGAAAATATAAAACAAGATACTAATGCTTCANAAATTATCTAGAACGTTTAGAAACCAGGAAACGTCAAAAGATCGCTTTCTTCGTCGTGCCCTATATTACGATGACTTAATCCCTCAATCATTGAGTGAGTCCTGTAGGAGACAACAGGATAGAGAATCAATAAGGTCGTCTTGTTAGGACACATTTAACAGGACGGACACCCTCTTGCATTCGAAATGAATGACAATCTTTTCATTGTATTTTTGACAAGGAAAACAAGTTGAGTGTATATTAGGTATGATATCAAAATATTATAGACATACAATTCGGGCAAAGATCATTGACAATATAGACATTCAATTAATTCTTATGACATGCTTTACAAGACAAGTGACAAAAAACAATAAAAACAAATAATTGACATGCATAGTGTGAACAAAACACTAATAAAACAAATAAATACAGGTGTTCCAAAAGTCCCTGAGAAAAGTTTTTTCGTTTTCATTTGACTATTGACTAGAATTCACTGAGTCATTTTTTTTCGGTTAATAGATAAATGCACCGAGTTTTTATTTCTAAAGGTAATTTTTAACAGCATTGTTGAAAGCTAAGATCTTTAGCTGAAAGACAAAAATTTAGCCTATTTTCTCTTTCTAGAAATATTCATAGATAATATGCTTTTGGATGACTTGAATTTTGATTTAGTATTATTCATCTCGTTTTTGTAAAGAACTACTAAAATAAATTTCTGTAAAAAGACCGTTCAAGTATTCGGTAATTTAAAGGTTCGAATCAACCAACAACTTAAAGTATTTAAAAGAGAAATGTTATGTAATTCTTTTTGAGAAAAACAAAACAGGCTAAACTTTTGTATTTTGGCTAAAGGTCTTAACTTTCAACAATGCTTTTGAAATTTGTCTTTAGAAATAAAAACTCGGTGC